TTGAGTAGGTAAATCAGATAGAATGCCAGTGGAATGAGTATTTATACTCTTAAAATAAGATAATTGGATTATATGCACTTGAAATAAGACAATGCAATTGTGTTTTCTTATTTTAAGTGGAAGTTGTCTTGTTCCATTGGCAAAATGTCTCTTTTATCTCCCCAATCCAAGAACAAATGCACTTATTTCAAGAAAAAATGACTTATCTAGATTTCAATTTTTTCCAGTGTACAGTGTTGACTAAAATTTGACTAAGTCTTAGTCTAAATGACAAAATTAACACTGCCGCGCACCCATTGGCTACAGCCTGCCTTGGAGGAAATGAAGGTGACTTGCACAGCATGAGGCAGGTGGTGCTAAGCTCCTAATGTTGGGGCTTTAATGCCAACAGTTCCATGTGCTATTTTAAAGGAAATGAAAATAGGCCTTTAATTTGAGGAGCAGGGACAGATAACTGGATGAGAACAACAGTGATGGACTGAGAACATACTGGTACACTAATGAAAATTCACCATTCTTCCAGTGTTTATTTAACAACAGAGCAGCACTGGGAGGAAATTAAGACTTCCTCTTTATCTGTCAAAGAATTTAAAGGCTACGATGGGAGAAATGATTAAATGTGCTGGACCCTACTCGGCCAAACGTTGTTTTTAAATTGTAAAATAAAACCCGACGGCGCTAACGGCCAATAATGTGTCTGAAAGCGGAGTAAAAATGAGTTGTGGAGAGAGAGAGGAGCCGTTATAGCATCTGAGACGAAGGAACAGAAATCTAAATCTCTCATGAGAGACCCCTTCAGGGCCAGCAGGAAAATCCAGAGACCTCAGGGGAGGCATTAGGTTTTAGAAAACGCTCCCCTCTCTGGAACTTCTCCTTCCTCACCCTGAACCTCTAAATAAATGGGATTTTTCTTCTCTGCCATTGTTCCTAAATCACCACCAAATCTACAGGCTTTTGTTTTTACTTCAACCTCGGCCTGAACTTTTTATTTTCCAACCAGTTATACGCTTCTTCTCTTTCTCCTCAAGAAAAAACAAGTTTCCCCACGTCAGCTCCTATTCCCATAAGCTACAGCCTCGATAGATAACTCTCTTTAGCTGCAAGTTGGACAAGGGGGGGGGGGTAGTCGTTTTCCTGCTGTCTTCTATTGGGTTTATGGATAAGATCTGCATGATAGAAATCTGATTTAACAGGGAGCCTTCAAATGTTTTCCCCATAGTCATAGTTCTGGGCTCCAGCTAATATTAAGTACAGAACTGAATATACTACACACTTACATGTGTGTGTTAGCCATCCATGCACGGCTAACCTGATATACTTCATAGTTTTAGAGGCCAGAGATGGAGATAAGAAGCGGTGGGAGATGAAGAAACCGCTGGAATAATAATGAAAAATAGCTGGAACACTAACAGAACCGAGTTCAACCCGTTTCATTTATCGTTATTCCTCCTCCTGTGATTTAAAGAATAGTCAATTGTTTTTGTTCTGCTTTTGCTCCATTTTTGTTGATTTATTGCCATCGGTAAGGCACACATTACCGTAAAGATATCTTAGAGACAGAGGACTATAATTACTATCCAGCTTTGACTTAAAGCTCTGGATCAGGGTTTGTTTTCACTGAAGGATTAACTTAAAAAAAAGTTTCTGTGCAACTAGACTGAAACAAAACGAAGGAAAAAAAAGCCACGGCTGTCTGACTGTCAGCGCGAGACGGTACAGGTGATTACTGATGTATAAAGAAGCTTCGACGCACGTGGGGTCGGGGGATCAAAGGATAAAGAAAGAGATTAAAGCACGGCATGTAATATTACTGATAAAACAAAGTTAAAAGTAGCATTAGCTTTTACATTTAAAGGAAAAAACTTTTTACCTTACTTTTGCAAAAACTGATTTAACCCAAAAATATACATTTACTGTTGAAGTGGTGCAATAATATCAGTTCATTGGCAACACTGCAAAAAACTTAAATCTCAATAAGTCATTTTTTTTCTTAAAATAAGTGCATTTTTCCTTGAATTGAGGAGGTAAATGTGAAACCTTGCCAATGGAACAAGACAATTTACATTTAAAATAAGAAAAAAAACAATTGCAGTGTCTTATTTCAAGTGCATATTATCTAATTATCTTATTCTAAGAGTAAATATCCTCATTCCATTGACAAATCATCTTATTTTTCTACTCAAATTAAGGGTAAATACACTTAATTTAAGACATGTTGACTTATTTCTAGACCGTTTTTGCAGTTTAAATTGTTCCTTAATTTGACTAGAAATTCTCAGCAGCCACACTGCAAAAACAATCTAGAAACAAGTAAAACATTCTTAAATTAAGGGTTTTTACCCTTGATTTGAGTAGATATATAATGATTTGACAAAATGAGTATTTTCAACCTTAAAATAAGATAATTAGATAATATACAATCATTGTTTTTTTATTTTAAATGTAAATTGTCTTGTTCGGCTGCCATGCTCGTGGACATTGTCAGTTTCACTATAGCTCTGGTGAATTTCAATGGTGAAGTCCTCTGGAAATCTTCAATAATTGTTGTTGATTGCAGATGTGTCTAGTAGTTCCCATTGATTTAGCTTGTAAAGCGGGGAGAATGGCGCTAGGCTTACCGCACCGTGACGTCACTGCTGGAAGATGGCAGGAGGGAGGGGTTACTATATTTGGGCAAAAATGGCCGCTCTCAGACTCAGTGGTCGTGACGGAAATTATTTTTACTTTTTATTTTTTTTACCAATTAACGCTAAATTCATTTAGGTACAGATAATGATCCATTGATTTTTCCTTCCTGACCGGACTTTACCTTTAAATGAATTCCCATAATGACACGAGAGATTGACTGACAAAGTTATTTTAAGTTACCGTAATTTTCGGACTATAAGCCACAGAAGCTAAATTGCATGATTTGTACATATACAAGCCGCACCGGACTATAAGCTGCAGGTTTTTTATGTTTAATTACCATATGGTTCGTGCACAGATAGGATTGTCGGGAAAGAGGCAACTGTTTGGGGAAGCGCCTATTTATTAACATTTCAACACATTTGAATTGAGACAATTCTTCCTGCTGGCGTCTCCAACACCTCACCATTGACTCGTTGATTCCAAGGTTACGTGCAGAGGTTCTATTTCCTTCGTTTACTGCCAAATTGACTGCCTTTAACTTAAAAGCTGCATCATACGCATTTCAACGTGTGTTTTTCATAATGAGGGTGTCACACAAACTGTCTTGCGCTCGCAATGTCCGTCTTTCTCGGAGTCTGCTTCCGGTGGACGTCCACATTCCCGCGCGCATGGCTACTTGTGTGTTGAAGCAAATGTGACATCAGCATGGTGGATGGTAAAATCCATAGATTTAGGTACCGTATTACCCTAGTGGCCGTTAGCTGTAAAAGTCCATAGATAAGCCGCATTGTTATATAAGCCGCAAGGTTGAAAAATGGTCGAAAAATGGGGAAAAAGTCACAGCTTATAGTCCGGAAATTACGGTAATCCCAGTCCTGATTATCTTTATCAGTCTAAGGCTACGTTCACACTGCAGGCCTTAATGCTCAATTCCGATTTTTTTGTGAAATCGGATTTTTTTGCGTGTCCGTTCACACTTCCAAGTATATGCGACTTGTATGTGATCTACTGTGTGAACTGAAAGCGTTAAACCGAAGTGTCTCGCATGCGCACTCGAGGACGCGATGGCGTCACATGTAGCAAGCGTCCTCAGTGTTTGCGGAAGTAAACATGACTCGTAATACCGCAGCGTATATTGCGTTCTTTAAGTTCTTCTCCAACAGGAGCAGGCACATTACGAACGAAATCTTTTTAAGAAGATCAAAAAGAAAGAGAGCCAGGTTCCGGTAAGACCCTTCGAGTTTGGTCTGAATCGAGCTATCTTTCCAAATATGAATTAAGTCAGCAACCTCACTTTCTCTCCATTGACTGCTCTCTGTGTTATCTTCCACTATGGTTGTTAGTTTTTCCCGCCTCCGCTTAGTAGGACGCAGATTAGTAACGTTTAGTAACATTTGTCAAGTATCAATGACGTGTAGGTCGGATAAATGCGACCTGGCCGTACAGACACAGGTCGCATTTGAAAAGATCAGATACGTATCGGATTCAGGACCACATATCCAAGTGGCCTGGGTCGCATTTGAAAAAATCCGATCTGTGTCGTTCAGACTGTCATAAAAAGATCAGATACAGGTCACATATGGGCAAAAAAATCGGAATTGGGTCACTTCAGGCTGCAGTGTGAACGTAGCCTAACTAATCTGTGACGTGCTCCAATTTTTTAAGCTGATGTTATTTTCATAACAAATATTTCATGACTCTCAGCTTAAACAAAAAAAATATATATATTAACAAATTAAACCTAAAAGCAAAACAAATGCTCTGTTGTATTTACCAAGGTTATTTTTGTCTGATACTAAAGCTAATTGGATGATTCTAATGAGAAAAAAACAAGACATTACTTTTTTTTCTTAATTTCTTCTCCCTCTTTGCTTGAAGATCTCTCACTAATATTGCAGCGGAACAAAAGAAACATCAAAATCACAAACGAGTTTAGAAAAACAAAGCTGTTCTAAGCCTCCATGTCTGCGCCTGAACCGTGGTCTGAAATTCAGATTTTGATCAGAGACCACGGATATTTACATTCCCCGTTTCCAAATCCAATTTCCAAAGCAGCGTTAAACAATCATCCAGCTACGGCTCAACGCATGTGGCCTCTTGCGTAATGCAGCTGATCCGACTTTATAAAATGCTTTCTGTACAAAAAACAAGAAGAATGTGCATCTGTTGGTTTGTTTTTTATGACTTAAAGTAGCCCAAATGCGCTGTAACAGTTTTTAATTGAATACGTATAAACAGGAGCATCATGGGTCGGTATCGGAACAGACGACTTTGCTGGAAAGTTGCGTTACTGGGCCGCGTTCTGGAGAAAGGAGGAGTTTCCGTTTCCAACACATTTCAGAGGATCGATTGAGACTTTGGGTTTTTACCTTTGTTTCCACGGTCATCGCCCCAGGAGTTCTCCACCCGCCATTTTTCAAAACCTTTCTCATCCTGAGAGGGAGACAGAAGAGAGGGGGAGATGAGTGAGAAGGGGAGAGAGTGACCGGACAGCTGGGGTTGCTTACAACGGAGGAAACTGACAGAATTATGAAAAAAAAAATAAAACTGCTGCAGATTAGAGCAGAGTAAACAAACAGTAAAACCTCGGGAAATTCTCAATGTGTGTGTATCCCTTGTGGTTAGTCGGTGCTGCGCGTACGAGTTTGTCACATTCCTGGAGCGTAGGATTGTGGGAGTTTACCTTGTCCGTTACAGCAGTGAGGATCATGGCGTGCGTCATGAGGGAGTCGCCGTATATCAGCCTCTCTGCCTTTGAAAGGTTCTTTACAGACACTCCAAACACCAGCTCATGGTTGAACCTGCAGAGGAACCAGGAGAGTTTACGGTCCAAACTCACGGGTGGCTTCCTCACAGCACTAATATCATCTTGTCATATGATCATCTTCAAAGTAATCCTTCAACCTATTCTTCTAGGATTAAGGGAGAAGACGAAAGCACAAGTCCGGGATCTGAGATTAGCTAAGCTCATCTCCGTTTCTCCAAATCTGGAGCATGAATGAGGAAACTAAGCTACGTTAGGCACCAAGTCCAGACACTAAAGCTGATCTACCTGAAAGATGAACTTCAGCAGAGATCAGAGCAGCTGTTCAGGCACCACGCAGGTTTAGTTTGAGGGGGGGGGGGAATTTAAGCCTGGCGCCAGCAACTCAGACAGATGAGCCGCGTTTCCTCCGAGGAGGGATTGACAGCTTATACCGAGTCTTGCAAAACTATTTTCTTTTCAGTTTAAAACCACAAACCTGAATATATTTCGTTTGGATTTGAAGCACCAGTCTAGAATTGTTTATTGAACATTTTACAGCCATGATAGAAACACTGCAAAAAATAAAATAGAAGCTTGTTTTTCTTGAAATAAACCTGTTTCACCTAACTTGAAACTGAAATGTAGATAAGTCATTTTTTTTTTTTATTAAAATAAATGCATTTGTTCTTAGATTGGGGAGGTAAAAGAGACACTTTGCCAATAGAACAAGACAATTCACATTTAAAATGAGAAAATACAATTGCATTGTTATATTTTAAGTGCATATTATCTAATTATCTAATCTTAAGAGTAAAAATACTCATTCCATTGGCAAACCTTCTCATTAGCCTACTCAAATTAAGAGAAAAACACTTAAGTTAAGACATTTTTACTTATTTCTAGATCGTTTTCCAGTGTGATAAGCCGATTTATCAACCAAATTATTATTATTTAAACTGCATAATATCTTATTTTATGGTCCTGATCAATTTAAGGGTAAATACACCTATTTTAAGGAACGTATTCTCAGTTTAGTCTTAGATTGAACTCTTTTTCTCTGCACGGCTAAAACTGACCTAAAGATTAGTACTAATTTATTATATGTGTGTTTGTCTCCTTAAGTTTTGTAGATAAATAACATGATCTGCGCTTAAAATAGGACATTTGGATGTTATGCAATTAAAATAATAACATTTTTGAATATGAATAATTTGAAATTATTGGGAAATTGTCTTACCTAGCTGCTCAAAAAAGGGAAAATACACCTATTTGACTTTCTTGTATTTAGATTTTTTTGAGGGTTAGTTCATAGTTAACAAAATAAACAAATGGTGGAAAAACTTTTTCTTGTAAGAGACTAAAAACTGCATATTCACCCTAAAGCTCATCAAACGTGACGGGGAGGAAGGGAAACCAGTACAGTGAGCTACAGTGTAGGGCTGCAACTAACGATTATTTTAAAAATCGATGAATCGGCCGATTATTTTATTC